TAGGTACGCTATTCCGTCACAGTTGGTTGAATCATGTGTTGAGAGTTTGAGAGGAATAAATTAAATGTTGAAAATGACATGAAGTTGGCATTAACAAAAACTCACCCGCGAATTTTAAGGCTGGTTAATAACATACAATTTCAACAGTCGCATTAAATTATTAGACATAATTTAAAATAAAATTATACTAAAACTAATTTCGTTGTTTTTTTAATTACCTTATTAAAAATGCCTTTTTCAATAGTATCGGGGTCGCGGGTCACTTGGCTTTTATAAAAAGGGTTCGCCACCCGAAAAAGGTTGGGAACCGTTGCTCTAAATCATTAAAGAAAATAATACAATAATAAACTTACACATAAATTATGTGATTGACGTTGTACAATCTTATTTATTGCAATAACTTAAACTGTTATGGCACTTTGAGTCCCTTGCTTTTACAACTGCATTTATTCGTGAAACACTTCATTTTGCAATGACAGCGTGTACTGTATAGCCTTACCCTCTACTTTTCGATTTAGCTGTAGTGCTTCTCTCAGCGATATTTCTTGAGAAGAAATCTCATCTATAAAAAGTAACTTTTCTTTACAAATTACGAACTGATTACGTTACATTACATTTTTTACATTTAGTGGAGCACTCCCTCTAACCTGTAGCATTAAGTGCTACTGGCTTGAGGTACTCCTCTTTTTATTAACCCTGCTTCGCATATGCTTTGCAGGTAGTTATGATTACATAATTGCGGTCGTAGCTGCAATACATTAATACCCGGCAATTAACTGATTACGTTATTACGTGATTACGAACTAATCTGTTAATAGTGTATTTTATTTGGATATCGCCGACGCCTTACCGACGACCTCTCTCATCCTCCGCCACTCGACCTGACTAAACGATCCCCACCTCACGGGATTAAAAAAACAAAAACTACATCCAGTGACAAAGTGAACGATTTTCACCAAACCGTTGCTGGGGAAAAGAGGTACGACCTTGTCCTACCTCCGACTACCCACAAAGAATTTGGCGACAGACTGTCGCCTCTCTGTCGATATCGGCTTTTCGGGTGTCGTTTCGACCTCCACCAAAGCTTATCTGTGCTTGTCAACATACACCAGCGATTGTTCGAAT